ATTTATACACACATTTATTTATTTATTTGTGCATTTATTTATTTATTGTTTTTGCAGGTTTCGTCCTCCATACATGACATGCTATAATTAATCTAAAATTATTATAATTAATTTAGTCATATATTGTATTATTAGTTATTTTTATATTATTATTTCAGTATTAATGTTTATATGTATATATTTTTCTTGTTCTTTAGTAATTGAACTAATTAATTATAGGCTACATGCAGTTTTTTGAACACTGTAAATTAGTTACTCTGATTTTGGTATAGTTATTACTGAGTTATATTTGTAGAAGTGTCTATACTGCAGTGAAATATGCAGTGGACAGAAATAATATATATATATATATATATATATATACGCGCGCACACACACACACAGTATATATATATATATAGATTTGTGCAATAAATCTAGTTTGTCGTTGGTGATAAATCACTGTTCCCCCCCAAGGTAACCAATCAGATATTCCCGGTGTGGACGTACTCGTACCTGGCAGTGCTGGTTCCTGTCTTCCTCCTCACTGATTGGCTACGTTACAAACCTGTGGTGGTCTTCCAGTGTTTAGTCCTGTTCTCCACCACGGCGATGTTGCTGTGGTGTAATGGTGTCCTAGAGATGCAGGCCATGCAGTTTACATATGGAGTGGTGACGTCGTGTGACGTTGCTTACTTCACGTACCTCTACAGCGTGGTGGAGTTGAAGCATTACCTGAAAGCCACGTCATACTGCCGGACTGCCCAGCTGCTGGGCTACACCGTTGGTTCAGTGTTGGGCCAAATCCTAGTCTCTTTTGAACTGATGTCCTATGACAACATTCTAGTGTTTACACTGGTTCTCACTGGTATTGCTTTGATCGGCTCCATTCTTCTCCCAATGCCCAAGACAAGTATGTTCTTCCACCAAATGAGGAGTGCTAGAGGAGAGACTGATGGTGAAGGGCATGTTGGGACAGAGGAGGATATTCAGAGCGATGGCCAAAAAGGTGGCGTAGAGTTGGATGGAGCCAAACGGCAGCAGCAAATACCAGAAGTTTCTGCTGAATGTGATAATACAAGTGCAAAAAGTTCCAAGACAGGTAGGACTAATGAGTCGAATCTGTCATATTAGTAAAATCACATGAGTGCTGCAGGAATGAGTCCTAAACCAACTAAAATAAGTGGCATTTTTGCACTTCTGGCGCCATCGTCCCAAAATCAATGGCTTTTTTGATTGGGTTTTTGGTTAAATGCCTGAAATTAGTTCTGTGGTTAACACAAGATATTTTTAGATTTTATTTATGCCATAAAATACATAAGCTAAGCTTATTTGTGATTTCAAAAAGGTGGTTTCTAACAAGTTGCTAAATGCGAGGTTGTCAGTGGACAAAACAGGAAAACGCATCTCATTCTGCTTTTACAATCTATCCAAGAATTTAAAATATAAAACCCACAGGAAATCCCAAAGTG